AAATTGTCACTATGACATCATATCACATACTGCATCAACGGTCGGATGATTTATCTTTGGCTTTGAAAATGGGGTCACAGGCACCCCTGAGTCCCCTAGATAGGCCTATGTTAAGTTTAACAAATTTACACGTTAAAGTATGTAAAACAATGTTCAAATTGTAATCATAGCTAGGGACAGTTGATGACAGCTAGGGGCAGTTGAAAATAGCAAAAGATAGTTGAAAATAGCTAGGGATAGTTGATCATAGCTAACAAATGAACTTTACGAAATGCTAAATAAAAACAATAATGGTAATGACAAAACCTAAACATTATTGTTACTATTATTGTTTTTAAGAAAATCTTTGTAATATGTTTCTTTTTATATATATATCTATCTAGTTTTTTTTTATTTCTTTCGCCTTTTCCGTTCTCATTGTCTATTACGTATTATATATTACTTATCTTAATCTTTACTGTCTATTGTGTTTTAATTTGATAATTTGATAATCTATTCATTGCATACAAAACGACTCTGTAATGAGCTTTGTTAATTGATGAAATAGAAAAACGTTTTTAGAAGAAGAAAAAAAGAAGAAGAAAAAACTTTTCAAAATGCTAAAGCTTAAAGCTAAGTCAATGACTCAAACTTAAGTTTAATACTTTTAAATTGCATATATTATTAATATAGTTTCTTGGTCTCTCGATAGTATACTCACGGAATTTGTTTGCATACGCGGAGAAAACCCCGGAAACGAATATAGTTTCTCACTAGTCGAACTCTTCTAAATTCTTAGAAAACGTGCTGAAAGGCACTCATGCGCAAACGTTTTTCTCTAGTGTCATGTGCCACGTTCCCCTTGAACGGACAAAGTTATAAAACAGTGCAGAATGGAGTTTTAGGTAGGAAGTGCTTAGGGTAATGTTAGCTATATTTGGGCTTCATGTGGCGAACGTTCTCGTAAGCGACCATAAAAAGGAAAATAATATTTTTTGCTTCTATAACACGGGGAAAGGTTGCCCAAATATCCGGAGCAAAAGGATCATATCTCCGAAAGCGACCACTTTCTCTTTTATCTTTATATATATCCCAACACTGGTCACTTACAAGAGAGTCAACTGTATAAACTTTGGAGATGACTTGCACTTTTGAAGATATGTCAGATCATCTTTATGAAAGCTTGGGTGACGTAGCGGTCAGAGCGCACGCTTCTCATTAATGCGATCCGGATTCGCTGTCATATGTGAGTAGGGTTCCTAGTTGGTTCCCTCCTGTGTCCTACACGTGCTTCGAGCGTTTCTCTCTGGATTCTTTTGTTTTTTTCACTCCGCAAAAATCACCTTCTTAATTCCAATTTGATCATGGAACAAGTGCACATGTAAAAACTAGCCACTGGTTATTGACAACCCCAAGACCCCAAAGACAAATTATTTAAAATTCATGCTAATGTTATCAAACAACGGCCAACCTCGTGCTGCATGCTCTGGCGGATCCTAACGCATGTATTGTATCGCTGCTGTTTTTTTAAAGTTAGGAAGGGTACAACTATAGAATATATCATATGCACATATTAAATTCTATTGTTGTATGGCTCGTTATACAAAGAGTTCTGACCAACTGCATATGATTTGCGGGGTACTCCATAGATATTCCGAAATAGTGACGTACTGATTCACGATAAAATAAACGCTAAGAAGCTCTTTAAAAAAACGCTAAGTGTTGAACAAGACAGCATTAGGTACAACTTGTTACATCTTCCCTTTTCGTTTAGATGAAATGAAAACTATGGTTGACTAAAAAATCAATGTTGGAAAAACATCACTCTTTTACCAGCGTGACTATAGTATTTTGCATTTTCATTTTTTAGCATGAGGCACCAGGGCCATAACTAGGGGGGAGCACAGGGTGCACGTGCACTGAAAACTAGGTCGAGCCACCTTAAACCGTCTCAAACATTCGGATTTTACGCGTGTTTTGGACGTTTCAGTGGTGGTAAAGTGGCTGGCATAATAGATAGAACAAGCTATGCATATGTATCTATATGAAAAATAACTTAAACACTCAACCTTACCCAGGCCAAGCAGAAGACACTGCTCCTCTTCGCATATCTCGTACTTCTTCACTTTTTGACTGCCAGGCGTTGCATCAATATACGATTTGTTAAGCTCTTGTGAATACAATACTGCTAGTACTACGCATACAATTAGCAGAAGAAAACAAAAAACCAAGACTAGAGCTAAACCAATCTTTATGCGATTAATTTTGCTTCGGGGATTCTCTTTGAACATCACTTCACTGGAATCTTCAAATTCCATGGCTACTAGCTGTTGCAATTGCAGTACTAAACCTCGTGTAGTTTGGTTCGCTCACGACCCTCAAAACCTGTCTATTATATCGTTTATGATCACGTGTTTTATGTACATAAGAATAATAAAAGAAAATATTCATAAACTGTTCTTTTTGGAACTGTGCCATCTAGCCATCTTCTTACCAAGTCAATGTTTGTTATTCAAATGAGCGACGATCGTCTGAAAGCCTCGTGTTTTTTTTTCTTGTTTGGTTTTGTTTTGTCGAGTTTTGATTGTTTTTGTTTTTGACTCTGTCACGACCTCCTTTTCATATTATAATTCTAGTTATGTATTGCACTAATAAATAGAATAATTGTACAGCTTTTCATTAATCCCATATAGGTAACTGTCCAATAAGCCTTTTCATAGTTTAAGAATCGATTCCACTGCGCATGCGATTTTATCTCGAATTTCTCACCTTCTTTTGTTTAATTAAGTTTTCTTAATTGGACAGGTCTTGTTGATATGGGATTAATTAGGCAGCTATATAATTAATAGGTAATGGGATTTCATGCTCCCCAATCAAGAAATAATTAGACTCGAAAAATTCCTCTGACTGCCAAATTGGACTCGGCCTATGGCCTCATCCAATTTTGGAAGTCCTCGGAATTTTCCTCGTCCAATTATTTCTTAATTGGGCAGCATGGAGTCCTATTACATATACTAATAATAAGACAACACTGTCCTTATTAGATGGGACGATCTATATATAAGTTCAATATACGAATTTACATATTGAATAGTAACACAACGTTTCCACTTCCGCAATAGCAAGTCTACAGGTTTTCTACTGTCTATACTATCGTGAGACCAAAATACTGTATTAAAAAAACACATGGGACGATCTATAAAGTTCAATATACGAATTTACATATGAATAGTAACACAACGTTTCCACTTCCGCAATAGCAAGTCTACAGGTTTCCTACTGTCTATACTATTGTGAGACCAAAATACTGTATTAACAAAACACAATATGATAGAATTAGCCTTAACTTAGTAAGATAGATAGTACTTAGTAAGATAGTACTACTGGCTTTGGTTGAAATTTAAAAGTAAAGTTATGTAATGAGAACTTTGTTTCTGACGTCTTCACGTCAAGGAAGTTGGTTGCAGCGACGATCCAATGAGTGTTATTTAGTGTTATTTCATTCTATCTTTATCTTTAAAGAATTAACACATAAAAAGGTCATTGTCATCCTAGATTTCACCATATCCCACACTTGGTACTTGGGTTCATTGGGCTGTTTGCTGGACAATTGAAAGCCTCAGAAAACTTGTTGAAGTTGGTCAACGGGCCAATAACCCTATAACGGCAAGACAAAATATAGTGAGATCAAGGATTTTATCCAAAATTTCCCATGGACAGGAACATCCAGATATTGGATATTTATGTTTTTAGCCTCGTTCTTTGTCGTGGACATTTCAGACCATTAAAATTTTTTTTTCAAGGGAATGTCATGTGGTATGAAATGGGCAATTTGCATCGTTCGAAGCTAAAGAGGTCTATTCTTCYGGAAAAACTAAGCAAATATGGAATGAATATAAAGTAAAAAATATATTTCATAGGAAGAATTCAATCTTAAGAGCTAAGAAAAATGTCAAGATTTTTTCCGAGTTTGACGTGGCTTTAGGAATGCACTTGAAGAGTCTGATTGACACGCGACTAAAACCAAACTTGTTGGACGAGCAGGTCGCTCTTTAAAGAAAACGAGTGCAACGATGTCAAGTGGCATTCAAGAATTTCCCGAGTTTCGCGTGGCTTATGACTGAGTAGTGTTATAGGTCGATAATTACCCCGGTTTTTGCGCMTGAAATGCGCCTGAATTGCGCCTGAACCGTTCGCGGTCCTGATTGGTCCATTTGATAAGTCGGAAGTGACGTCAAGACTCTGGGATTGCGCCTGAACTCATTTACATTGCGCCTGAACTGATATGTAAGTTCTGATTGGTCCCGAACTTACAGGAAATGACGTCAATGCCGTATTATTTTCATAGATTATCGAAATGGCGGGACGAGTCTTCAGAAATTATCATGTTGATAGCTTTTGTGTAAAATGGCGGGAATTAAACAATCAAAKCAGCGTGACTCGGCAAAAAAAGTGTACAAATATTGGGTGTGGGATGTTTGTACAGGTGTTTTGCGTCAATGCAAATGTACAGCCTATAAAGAGGGTGGAGTAGCGATTGCCCAACCTATTTCAACTTTAACATGGATCAAGAATTTGGTGCAATCAACTCTTTGTCAGAATGGGAAAGTTTTATGGACTCGAATAGGATCCCGGATTTGTCCATTGGGTTAGCACTAAATCGTCTTTTGGAGTTGACGACAGCAGATTTTGAGGTTAGCATTCTTAAAGCAAAAAAATCGAGCTTTTTATATTATATTTTTATTTTATTTTATTTTATTTTTTACCGAGTTTATTTATTCTTACTAACGAGAGAAAATTTTTTTTTAGAGTAACTGTACATACACGGAATCGAACGTGGATTTGCCAACGCCTGGAAATAGTAGTGGAGACAACAGGGTAAGAATATTTTTTCACAGTTGAATAACTTTGTGCGAGACTAATTTGATTGTTTTGATTTTGCTGTGTTATTTTTTTTAAAGATCTTATAATTTTTTCTTTATTTAAAGGTTAAAGTTCAAGAAAGTGAAGTTCAGACCGGAGCTGGTGTACCGAGAGAGGTAAATTCAGTTTCTTTTTACGTTTTTAATACTATTTTCAGTCAGTTGAATAGTTTATTTTCGATGAACTAATTTCAATGTTTGTTTTGTTTGTTTAAAGGATCCTTCCAWTAATCCCTTGACTTGCAAAACGTGTAAGAAGACTTTCAAGAGAAAATTTGATCTACGACGCCACGAAAGAGAAATTCATGATGACAAAAGACATCCCTGTCCTCACTGTGGAAAAAAGTTCAAGAGGAAATCGGATGCAAGACGACATGCACTAAACGTTCATGAACGTCGGGCTATCAAACGTCAATATAAGTGTAATCAATGTGGAGAGGAGTTTGCTAATTTGGCACCCTTCCGAACGCACCAAGAAGCATCCCACCCGAAAAAGAAGGGAACCAAGAGACCAGCCACAGGTCAACCAGGTAGGTTTTATCAAAATACACTGAAAATCTAAAACTTTGACTCTTACTCGTAAAAAAAGCCCTTAGTTCAAGACGAATAACTACGGATGTACATAGCAAACAAAAGAAATGTATTAATTTGTTTATTATGGGAGTCATACGAATAGCTACACTTGGTTGTACAATTAATTTAGAGTGCTTTAATTATTTTCAGAACCAAGCATCAAGAAAAGGAAACAAGAAAGCTGCRGTGGAAATGATAAACAAGCGAATGAYGGAAATGCTACATGGTCGGTAGATCCCAGATCCATCGATAGACTCCCCGAAGATGAGCAGAGTCAGATACCAGAGTACAGACGACATTGGGGTTACATACGTACGCGGTTTTCTCGTAAGAACAAGCTTCTGAATTGGTA